TGAGCATTGTGCATGTTTAAATTGTCGGGTAAATCGAGGTGAAACGTGTTTATTATTCTGAATTAATAGGGAAGATATAAACGATGTTCAGACGTATCCAGATACGTGTCCATTGTTGGCGAACACAGAACAGTGTCGACATCTGGGTTTCGATAATGATCGCGGAAATAAATGGGTTTTATCGAAACGACGTTTATATTCCGTGCACTTTAACGATCTGTTTAATGTTACCCGTACAAGGTACAGCTGGATGGAGGGCGGAGGTTAAAGTGCTCCGTGAGAAATTCCACCTCGTTTTACGAGCACGTTCATCTTCCTGAGCGGCGATCAGCGGTGTGGTTAGAAATTTCGATAGTTCTAGGGACCTGGAAATCACGATCGCGTATCGGCAAAAGGGAATTGTTGTTGCAGAACAGTAATGAAGAAGCGCTTAATGCGCCCATCGAAAGTTGTTAACTTCTGTCGGGTTGTCCTCTGTTTCTAAAACGCTTTACCGTGCAGTAAACGGACATTACGTTGTTCGAGCAACTTGTTAGCGTCTGCCATTTTTCAATCAATATTGCTCCATTCGTGAAATTGCACTTATTATTATTATTAAACATCTCATATTGTCGAGTTATGTAGTTTAAAAATAAAATAACTTCACGCTTGTTCGTCAAAAAATTTAATTACAGAATATCCTTGAATAACTTCAAGATTATAATTTAATTCACCAAAGTAGACCTAAACCAGAGGTCGAAACCTACAGTCAGTTCCATAAATTAATACCCTCCATGGGAATTCAATGTAATCTTTGTGTCAATTTAATTTAGTCAAACTTCTTCAATAGTCATAAAAGGTACGAATATTTATGGGATTGACTGTATATTATTCAAGCTTGCATTCTAGCTTGTATTTTATATTTGAGTTTTATCATTTTATCTCACAAAGCCCACTTTCCCCCAATATGCTTTTAGATTCAAACTCGTTTGCAATTTTCCCCGACAGTTTCATTTTCATCCGTGTCTGCGAATTGCTCTCGATCACGGAAAGAAAGGTGTTAATAACGTCGAACAGGATTTAACACGGTTGACAGCCACGTGCGACATTACCTAAAGTAAACCACGTTCGCTAATTACACATGGGACGCTAATTAGGCGAAAAGTGCTTTAACGCTGCAGAAATCCGACTACGTGGACCTAATTTCCAGCTTAATTCCGCTTCGACCGCTCGAACTGTCAATTACGATGAGTTATAATAAAGCGGAATCCGCTATCGCGATTGGCTTTCCGATCGCGTGTACATTTCCTTCCATTAGCGTTCTTTCGACCAAGGACCGTTTCACCGCGCGTAAAATATCGAGGTTCGCGTGAAAAAACATTTTCATCTTCTTTACGTTATCGTTTGAAACGTTACCTTGATACCAATCCGAGGTTTCGTTGTTTCGCGATTAGGCGCATCAAGTGAAAAGTACACATGGGAAATTGAACAATTTGGATGCACTTTGTAGCAAATTGCTTATAGCTACTCTCGCGTGGCTTCAAATAGGACGTCAAAGAGACCGACGCTTGGTCGAAATCCTCTTGAACGTAGAGCACGTAGAATGCGTCGGGACCACGGCCAATCCAATCAAACCTCGTATGACACGACAATATATACTTGATTGTACCGTACCGCATTATAGTTTCCAGTGTGCGGGTACTTATGGCAGCGGAAATAACGCGTAGGCACTTGTATTCGCGCGTTTACAAGAGAACGGGAATGTATGTTGGAAGTAAAATGAAAAATGCAGCGTTCCAACAGTTTCACAGCTTTTTAGATCAAACTTTTCCAATTAAGTCGAATAAAATTTTCTTCATTAGAATTTGTTTCAACACGGTAGGAAAACCTCCGAATATTACTCGTCTGCACGGAGAAAATATTTTTAATATGACGACCAGTAACTACAGAGTAGTTCTGTAATACTTCGCTTGGAAATTTGATATAACTTGTCGCTCTAATTAAAATGACATTAATTTAATTGGCTATTTTCGACGAACATTCGTGTATGCTTCTAATTTGAATTTTATTCATTTATTTTGTTAATTAAAATTAGTATTAGAGTAAATAAAACTTCAATCGAGTTGTAACGCATGTTAGACATTCCGGCATAATAAAGTGCCTACAAATGAGTAAATGTTTGTTATCGAATTCCCTATTCCATTCGCTATTGTGTAAACTGAGACTCCCATATGCAATTTCATGTACACTATTATTGTGTATTTTTCAACAATTTCCCAAACAATTATCGGTCAATGCGATCTCCTATTGTCTAATTTAAACGCCGCATTGTAACATAAACTTGTTAAAGATACAACTGAATTTAATGAAAATATAGTAAAGCGAAGCGCGGAATCAATACGCAGAATAACGCTGCTGAATTATGTATACGCCAGGGAGGCATTCCGTAACAAGCAATTATTCATAGTCGATCAGGCATTCACATTTTCCGGTACAACACTTTGTGGTCGTGTAATTATACATACCAGGTTCAATACCCCATAAATCTCTGATCGAACATGGATTTAAAAAAAATATTGCTCGGAGTCCTATCTCTAAAAGGTGAACCGTGGTATACTGGTAGTCTCTACATGACCATTATTTGTTTTGAGTGCAAACTTCAATTCAAGTATACTTTGACTTCTATATGTTGTAGCAGTAATTTTTTATATTTTTATGCGAGAGAATGCTTGTGTGTAGGCTGACAAACAGTGGATTCTATTGCTTTACAGTCGCAAGTTCCACCGACAAAGTTTACATCCAACTTCCATTTTCACTTTGTGGTCGTTTAATTTTCTTCCTAATGAACTTACACAGGCCCCATAATAAACGACCGAAGTATCTCCAGCCGCAGTTCGAAGTTCCCCTTCTAAGTTCACAGTGGCCCGTCAGAACGTTCGCGGACGTCTACTTGGCGAGACCACACGCAACTTTAGCAAAGTGCACGCAAACACACGCGGTGACTGTGCCCCGCTCGAAATACCGGGGGCGTGTTACACGCACAGAAGACGCGTACGCGCAAATACGCGCTACGAGAGAAATTCTTCATAATGGATGTTATGTGCCATCTGTCTGTGTAAGCAACGAAAACCATTCTGTTCCCTGGAGAACGCTTAACATCCCTTGTACTCGCAGGTGAGAACCATCAAGTCTCGTTCGCTCGTTTGTTCGCCGTTTGTATACGCTTCTCTTTTCGAGGTGGAGTTTTCAGCGACGAAGGCTTTCGCATTTGCCTACAACGGGATCCCTCTGCCGTGAAATAAACGGCCAGAATGCGGGCGAATAAATTTTTTAGCCTTTTTGCTTCCGAGCCCCTCCAACTGTCCCGTCAACCCATCTCGTTCGTCGTCATTCGAAATCAAATTAGCGGACGTACGGAAACGCGACGCGGAAAATGTACCCGAGGGAAAATAACTTGCGGGAAATGCTGCCGTAAACATTAATTTGCATGATCGCTTTCAACGGTTCTTTCATCGACGTTTTCTCGAGAAGTCACGACGCTGATTCCGCATGATTCTATAGTATTGGTGAGTATATTAAAGACTGGAACTTTTGATACTGTTTGATATTTAGAGTGGGTAAACCTTTTCTACTATGGACGTTTTACGGAAAATGTTTTCCTTGCGTAATAGCTCGGCGTCGATTGAATGGTAATTCTCTGACTATCGCGCCTGACCATTACTTGTTATTTCTACTAGCGTTTGCATCCATTAGTGATGATATGGCGTTATCCATTTGTGTGGTCAGCAAACAACAAAATTGATGGAAATCAGATGCTATCAAACCACTTCAATGTTATTTCAAATACCGTAATGCGTGTAATATATAACGATTTGTTTTCACAGACAATAAATTATGTTTATTCAAAATCAAAATTCAAGTTCAAGTTTTTGTGAAAATATTTCCTTTATACAAATTTATTTTTTGTTAAGCCTATAACGTTTCATTTTTTTTTTTTTTTTTTTTTTTTTGTAATAAAGGCAGTCAAACATGTTTTCAGTATTGTGTAAAAATTTCATGAACCTTAAAATAAAATTGAAATATACATTATTGGTTACAATCATGTATCTTTGATTCCAATTGTCTGGGATTTCTCGAATGTGTATGAAAATTTCCTTTGGCACTCAAATGGTTAATTTCTAGTGATTATGTTGTCATGATCTATACATTTCTGGACGTCATCTCTCGGAGAACAATCGAAGCGAGTGGATCTCGGTTTCGTGGACAGGTAGACGTGCCCTGAATCGTAACTCGAACCCGGCGCACGACTCACGATTTGCAATCGTTGCACGGTGCAACGATGCACCAGCCGCGTCACGTCGTCGATAGGCCACGACGACACGCCGCACGACAGGGAGCCGTGGAACGGGAGCAATTAGCAATTAAAATCAGGGGCTCGGCGATTGATCGGTCTAGCATGATACCAGCCTATTCCACGAGCCAATCGACTCTTGGATTATAATTACGGGCGCTAATTGCGCGGCACCTGCCTACCGCCCCCGTTTACTCCCACCACTTCTCCTCTTCTACCAGAGAGCAGCCGCGTGATTAGTACTCGACAGGATCGGTTAAAATATTCTGAGAATTTCATTTCCGTAGGGGGTGTGCGACTCGTTCCCTCTGTTTCCTAATTAATTGGCCGATTCAACTTTGGCCGGAACACTCGAGGCTATCGAAAGGTGTTTCGAGAGCTCGAATGAGTCCGGCCGATGGTATAAAGGCGACACTGTCGAAAACTTGGAGTGAACGGATGGGTAGAATTACATTTGAATTATCGATGACGAAGGAGATCTCTATAGCGATTGGTAATGTTTAAAATTGGTCGTGGTTTTTATTTAGCAGTAACGCGTTCTTTACTCGCTTCCTTTCTACCTATATCAATTCTACTTTATTGTTCCTCCCAGGTTGTAGTGATAATAAAGCCCTCGCAAAGCCGCGTAAAATATCGAGGCACGGAAATATATACACGTGACTGTACTCACGTCGTTTTGAGCGGAGGTCGGCGTAATTGGCCCGTCGCTGGCTTCCCATTTGTCGGCGATGCGAATCGTCTCCGCCGTTTTCTGCTGCACCGATTTCGACTCGTCGAGCAACGTCAGCTCGTAAAACTCCTGGATATCTGCAACAGTCCGGAAAACGGGGAGTCAAATTAATACGCTCTGAACGGTTCCCCCTCATGACATCGACTGAAATATCGTCATATTTACAGCCCTGTTTCGCAATGAAAATTGCCATTCGACGCTTTCGTGTCTTGATCGCGAACCATCAACCTCAATGGCAGCTATCGGAGCAAAGGATTCGCAATTTTTACATTGCAGCAATCAAAATTGTTAACAAAGTGTCATGAATTCTAAATAATAGGAGTCATCAAGGGTATTTGCAACGAATCTCTCCAATAATATACACAAATCATCTAACAGAAAAATATAACAACAGCTTTAATGTCTCTAACAGTAAAATGCTGTTTAAAAATAAAAACGAACTCCATCGATAACACCTCTCAGGTATGATTTCCAATGGTACCACGCCAAAGATTGCATCAACATTCGAATGCGCCAAGCCGCTCGAGTTCCCACGATTTCATTTATCGCCCGCAGTTAGAAACATATTTAACCCACGTATATTGCTTTTCTGTCGTCAACGTTTGAAGGTGATTCTACTTGAACATAACTCGGAGGGATCGCAATAACGGAGTCATGGAATATTCAATATTGTAGCCTGAACTTTTCTGTACGGGTACCGGTGGATTTTCCCTGACGTTACGATGCACGTTGTGCGCCCAACGAGAATATAATACCGACGTCAACGAGTCTGGCTCGGATCCTTTGCGGCCGAGAAGGTGATCGTGTGTCCTTAGTTTATCGTTCACCTATTATACCTATTATACAACACTCTCTTGCGGGGAAGCCCGGGGCTTTTTGAGATATCCGGTGCATATCTCTATGTAGGGGGAGGTCGAAGGAACTTTGATTCCTTCTATCTCCGGGTCTCCAATCGCAGCAACCTCCACGTGGTGAGACCTGGTAATCGGTATTATTCGTAACGAACAATCCTTCGTCGCGAGTAATACCGAGCTAATGGCTGCGAACTTGTAAAGTGTAAAGTGTAAAGTGTAAAGTGTAAACTGTGACTTCTTAGACACAGTGGTGAAATTTTATTAACTCTTTCCAGATATTCGGAAGGTGATCCAAGGAACTTGCCATTATTTTCAAAGTTCCCTAGAGACAGATTTAGACAAACTTCTTTAATAAACATACAGCTTTCGAATATTTATGAAACTGACTGTATAATGTATATTATATATGCATGTTTGATCATTAATAAAGGAAGTTCGGGAAATTTTCTAAAAATAAACCATTTAACTACGCAATAATTGAACATCCCCACAAAAGAGCTGTGCGAAATCGTGACTCAAGCGTTTTATTTTGCATTATTTACACCACTGTGATTCCCAGCCACTCGGACATAACGGTAATTTCATCGCTCGGTTCATTAATGGGACCGTGCTATAATTACGCGGACACAGAGCATAGGATTGGTTATTTCAATATTGGAAAATTACAATGACTGAATCGACTCTCCGCGTCGATTACGAAGCGAGATGCAACGTTCGATATAGACAGAGCAAGCGAGAACTGTAATTTAGGTTTATTAATTTCCCCACAGGTATATCCGTGGTTTCAGTAAATTGTTAACTATGACGAAGTCTTTTCATCGCCCCGTTAACGAGAGTCGCTGCAACAAATAAGGAACTTCAATTTAATTTGATTACCGCCAACATCTGCGCGGCAGGATCAATATTATTCTACGAATGTGGGGATATTTGTTCAGGTCGAATTAGCTTACTATTGTCGCTGGTTAAAGTTAATTACAGCGAGTTCGGTGTTATATCTGGTACATAACGTAATGACATAACTCCAATATTAACTCTGAAAATTACTCGCGAGAGTCACGCTAATAAGGGGCACTCTTGAGGACGATGCTTCAAAGTAGTCACGGAATACCGATTTATTAATCCTTCGAGCGTATTTTGGATTCGCTACGAGGATCTTGAATAATCATGCCCAGGAAATTTAACGCCTACTTTGCGTTTCGATGCAAATTAGATTTCACGAAATTATGAACTGTAGTACTCTGTGTGCTGTCGAATTTATGTCGAAAGTTTACGAAAACATAACTGAGAATATTAATCTAATGCTTTCTATCATAATAAAGGTTGAGCTGTGAAACAGATGGATCTCAACTTTGCCCATTCGCTATGCCATAATCGATGAGTTGTATTCTTCTTTCATAGGTTCATTAAGATTCCTTCAGAATGGAGCATGATGATAAAAGGATGAAATCAGACTTTGAAAATATAGGTTAAGATACTTAATAGACAGGGGTGTTCGCTCTTATTAGGCCACTCGTTAATTTTCATCTGTCACCTAGAAACTTTAAAAGAAATCCAATTTTTCAGTACGAGAAACGTGAGTTTCGTGATCCAATTAAACATAATGATTCCTCTACCAGTAATTCTGCAAATATCTGAAAATTTTTCTCGGGTTCTATGAAATCTATCGAGAGTACGTATAATACAATTATATTTTAATACAAGTCTTCGTATATATAAACCCACGACCTTTCAATTATCGAGACAGATATTTGAATAATCGCATTTAAACGCACATTGTTCATAATCACCCCCTTCGCGAAACGCAGGGAAAACCACCGTCGATGCAGCCACGGAAAATTTATGAAAATAATTACAAGGGCCGCGCGAGATCGTTGGGAGCAGTTTTCCAAGATTTCCCTCACGGGCGGGAAAAAAAGAACTTCTAACTAAATTTGCAGCCACACGTACCCAGTCGTTAAATGTCGAAGAGACCGCTTGTTATTCGTCGCGAAAAATTCTACGACTTTAATTAACGTCCCAACCTTTTTGTCACCGCCGACAGAGGTAGCACGCTCGAAACGCTGGCGGCTCCTCTAATTTTTCGTTTTAATTCACATTTAATGACATCCTCTTCCCGCTCTCCAATCTCGTCGTTGGAAAGCATGCCGTTGCCACTATTTATGCTACCAACAGGAATCTTTCTCCACTTTTTTTCATTCGCGGGAGTTGCGGCTCGCAGACGGCTACAAAGTAGAGGACTCGAAGAAAGCACGCATCGAATTTGCGCTCGAGGGGTTGTTCTCAACAGGGTGGACGTACAATTGTCATTGAACGTAATGTCAAGTTAATGGTGGCTCATCCTCGTTCCGACATTTTTTTGGAGTTCTTACATGATCGAGAAGATTCCCACAGTCAGAGGATTAAGAACGACTTTGGCGCGGTCGTGAAACGCTTCCCGTTTTACGAGACCCGAATGCTGTCCGGATAATTAGCGCTTAACGAGTACCTTTTCGCTTTACCGTTTCAAACGAAATGAATTCAATGCATCGATAAACAAGAATGTAATTTCGATGGATCGATTTTTGCGTCGAATGTACTTCATCTGGGTTCGAAATAGATTAGGGCTGGCCATAAAATATGTTTTACAAAAGAATTTTTTGGAACATACACTGAAACTATTTAAATTATAAATCAATAACTCTTACTTTACATGACTAAACTAGAGTTTTCTAACAGAGTAAATGAGATGTATTATACTTTACAATCCTAAAAATGATCAGGTTATCATAGAAACGTTTAATTTGCAATTCTAGCATTTGTCTATTGAAAAGTATTGAAATATAATGCTTGCAGACTTGCGTTATTATGTTATTGTACTTCCAGCGTGTCTGGTACACGATACCTCAAAGGGAGATGCAACCTGCGATTTTATATTGCACCAAGCGTTAGTGTTATTGCGTTATACATTTTCAAATAGCTTTCCGATTCCATCGGCATACGAAACGCGCATCAATCTGAGCTGCTCGCGTCGTTTTCGCCATTCATGGCACGCCTGCGAATACGATCCGTGAAACGTATAAGTATTACCGAGACATTGCTCACCAAGGATATAAGAAATATTGAAAACTTATTGCAATCTCTCTGCTTCATTCTCCAACTATTACAAACGGGCCCGAATGGGACCGGAGCTGCAATTCTTTCTTGGGCGAGTTACAGCATTGATATCAAAGAAATGAATGGTTGAAAGCTGCAAAATGGTTGCTAGGTGAGTAGATAAAAAATCAATGTTTCTTTGTTTTTAGAATATTTGTTTGACATGCATTTGATAAATTAGACCATTCCGATACTAAAAGATAGATTCAATTTCATGTAATGACAATATGTAAATACTAAATAACTCTAAAATGCTGTAAATTAATATTTCGTTCGACACAATTGCATACATTTCACGTATGTTTTCCATACTTCATCGCCGAGTATACTATACATGCATAAAATCCGCTGTCTGATTATACGTAACCGTATAAAATACTCATCGTTGAATAATGTTCGTCCGATATGACTGAAACATTTTCCAAAGCCGCGAATTTATGTTGTTTACAATGTAGTTGTGGACAGTATATACATAATAAACTCACACGTGTAGGATTTCGCGTGCCAGTGAATATTCGACGCGTGGAGCGTTTAAATATTTACATGAAGATAATTACACGTTTCAGAGAAACCGTACCACATTAATGTAACGAATGTAGCCAATGCCAATATCGAACATTCGCAGCAATTTATTGTGATATACCTATTTTTTTGTAACGAAGGTTTCCACGATTTCGATGATGAATGGGATGGACTGGAAAGCATTGAATCTCCGTTTAATTCTTCATATCATGGAATTTGTAATTCAAAAATGATGAAAGGAAATTATTTAACGATTATTTACACGTCTAATTAATTCAGTGATATCGAAACTGTGGTCATATTAGCCTAGCTGGTTTAATTCTGTTAAAACTAAATCGGATAAAAGAATATCTCGAAAAAAATATAGACTCATAAACATCGACCACGTACACTTTTCCTCGAATTCAACGAGTACTCCAAGCCCCGAATCTTTTCTCACCCTCTCGACACATTCTGTTTACAATCACGCCAACAAACAATTAGACTCATTCGCCCCTCGGAAGTGTTCCATAAAAAACAATTCCTTTCGCGCGCCTAGCCCTCGAGACGACGAGGTAACCGCACTTTCG